CACAGTCTTTCAATAATACTTGAGGGGCAGTCACATAGAAGAGGCGGTCAACTTATTCTCCAAAGCCCCTGAAGGCAGGACAAGAAGTAATGGATGGAAACTCTCAAAGAGAGATCCAACCTAAAATTAAGGAGATATTTCCCGACAGTGAGAGAGGACATTTAATCAGTGGAATGGTTGCCTCCAGAAGTTGTGGATGCTCCATTACTGGAGATGTCCATGGAGATTCTCAGAACTGAAGAAGCTTCTTGGATGAGAAGCAAAAGGTCTTCAAGGAAAAACAAAGTCAAGTTGCCTTTTGAAAAAGCACCTTTGGGACAACCGTGGCCTGGAGGATGGAGAATCTTCGCAGACTACAAGCAAAAACATGAAATGAATGCTTGGCTAGCAGTGTTGTGGCCACTGAGGTTTATCCAAGGCACAACGATTACTAACTGAACACCTCCCGGCATTTGCCGTGGTCCCATTCACTTGGGAGGCCCCGAAGTTGCAGCTGCAAACCAGGGAGGAGGTCATGAGAAGTTGGGCAGGGCTGCTCTCAGGTCTAAAGTTCACATCTTGACTTCTGAACATTGAGTGGCGTTGCCACTTCTCTCGGAAACGGCCATGCGGGCAACTCTGGAAGGTCAGATCTTTCCAGACGCTCGGCATCTCCCTCGCCTCCCTTGTGGGCGACCACTTCATGTAGTCAAAACAGGAAAACTGTTGTGGCTTTGGAGCACAGATAGGCCCTGATATGCTGGCGGTAGAGCTTGGAGCCAAACTGCCTCAAGGTTAAGAGAGGAGTGCAGCGATGTACTTGGGGAAGCTTATCAGGACCTTGCCAGACATGGTCGGATCATGTTCAGCCATCTCCTGGTCACCATCCCAACCTGCATAAATAACAGCACCGAAGTCGTGCTGCGTTTTGCTCTTGTTTTTCAAAGGTTACTCACTTTCATTTTTTTATTGCCACTTTTGCAGAGCAACCTCCCTTAATTGCTCTTACTGTAGATCATCCAAAGCATATAATTAAAGACCAGCTTTTGAATTGATTTATTGAGATGCTCTTTGATTTGACGTTTTTATGTTTGGAGGCTTATTTTTTAAATTATGGCCAGAGGAAGTTTCAGATAAACCTCATTTAATGTAGGGAGCCAGATCCTCCAGGACCTCAGATACTGTTTTAAGTAGTCAGGATTTTTCTCTATCTCCCCCATTATTTCTCATTAATTATTTTATTTTCTTCCAAGCTGGCTTTTGAGAAGGAGGGGGTAGAGTTTCAGGGAGATATAAAAGCATTTTATTGTCTAGAACAACAAAATCTGGCTCTGTAGATTTTATGGTTGTAAGCAGGACAATTATGAAAGCAAACACCCAGGAGTGGAAAATAAATAAATAAATAACGGCTACAAACAGTCCATTTCGGAGAATTAGAAAACTCGTAATCACAGACTTCCTGGGGTTTTAGTCATCTTTGTGTAATGTGATGCCAAGGTCTGAAGGTTGCCTGGATCGGCTTAGATCTCCCGGGCAGAGCAGCTCCTGGGCCATGCAGGACATTCAGGACTACGCTACCTGTTCAGTCGCTGAGCTCAGCAAGGGCCAGGGTTGACAGAGCTGGCCTACACACACACACAAACACACACACACCAGCGAAACAACTACAAGGACATAGAAAAACGCCTTTCTTTTTCTTAATTCGGTAGGGCAGGGTTTAAAAGATGGCTGCCCTTCTTCTGGGTCACCTGGACAAGCCAACAGTCCTTGTCTAAGCAAAGCCCAGGGCAAGTCTTGACAAGCTGTGGCTGGGCCTGCAAAACACACTTGCAAAAAAGCTGGAAGGCAGCCAGTGGCCCCTCCTTGGCCCGGCCCAGCTGAGTTCTGCCACTCTTTCTCTCATGAAGAGGGAAGGAGACCTGGGCGAGGGAAGCTGGACTTCAGGAATTGTGCAAAACTAGGCAAGCGCATTCTTCCCATTAAAAGTATGGTTTAAATGTTAAATTCGGGTGGAAAGTTTTTATTTTTTTAAAAAAAATGTATAAGTTTTGGTCAGTAGGTTTGCTTGTTTGATGTGTTTAATGATGAGAAGTGGTGTGTTTATCTTGCGCCACTAGCACAAGTAAAGTCATTAGCATTGTTCCTGGGCCAGACAAATCCATTTATCGTTTATGGCAGGGCTGGGGAAACGGTGGCCCTTTTATGACGTGTGGATTTCAGCTCCCAGAATTTCTCAACCAGCCCCAAGTCATAAAGGGGCCCTTGTTCCCCACCTCTGATTTAGAGAGTCAAGGATTTGAGAGCCCTTTCAGAACCCGTGAAATTGCAGAACTTCTACGAAAACGGTGGCGCTTGGACCGGCCCACATCCGTCCAGCAACCCAAAAGAAATGCACAAGGGCAAGAGGCAATTCAACGAAATGACCACATAGAAGACAACCCATAAAGTCAGTAGAGCGTCCTGGTTGTCTAGGAAGATCTGGCTTTTTTTAAAAAGACAACCAAAATTGAATATTTAGTGGGGCAGGGAATCAATAAATTGCACACTAGCAAAAGCAGTGGGACCAGTTAAAAAGTAGAACAATTTAGACAGATCAGAGAAAGGCTGTGAAGGGAACCAGAGGACCAACCGGGAAGTCAACCTCCCAAGAGAAAGAGATGGTTTCCTTTTGAAAAGAGCTGATTGTCCCACTCACAGGCAGGAGGAATCAGGGGTCTAAGTTAATCCCCCCCAGAGATCAGGATGGCCCCCTCTCTCTTCCGGAAGGCCCTGAAGATGGCCTGGTTCTGCCAGCGGGCCTGGGGAGCCCAGAATGGGAGGGATCCCTTCCAGTGGCTCGTTGTGTGATCTGCTGCCGTTGGGACGGCGAGGAGTTGGGGGTGATTATGTACTTATTTATTTTCCAGATTTTGTTCAACTGTACTCTTTTATTATTATTTTTTATTTTACTGTCAGGGCTCCGGTAGTCACCCCCATTTAGACCAGAGAAATATTTTATGAGTTGACATTTACATTCTGTAAGCTGCCCCGAGTCGCCAGGGGCAAATAGCCGGCAATATTTAATCGATTAATTAATAAGTTGCCTCTGATCCCATTTGAATATTAGGAAATCTTGCTAGTATATTTAGTGTGAACTTTAGTATGAAATGGAGAGCTGACCTGTACGGAGTGGGGGAGGGGAAGCGGAGCAAGACCCCTCGGTGCTGCTGCAATAGCTGAGCCTCCCTTTTTACTCAGCCTTGGAGGTTCCCATTGTGACGGGGAGCCGCCACAGAATTCACAGCCTCCAGGCGGCTTCCATGGAGCCCCCAAATTAACATTTTTAAAAACACAACATTTAATTTTTAAAAATGACACAGGCTGCCAGAAGGAATGAGAACTTTCCTAAGAGATCTTACAAGATTTTGGGGCAGGGTAGGTCATCCAAGGGACGCGGTGGCTCAGCGGTTAAGATGCTGAGCTTGTCAGTCAGAAAGTTCGGCAGTTCAGCGGTTCGAATCCCCAGCGCTGCGTAAGGGAGTGAGCTCCCGTTCCTTGTCCCAGCTTCTGTCATCCTAGCAGTTCGAAAGCACGTAAAAAATGCAAGTAGAAAAACAGGGACCACTTTGGTGGGAAGGGAACAGCGTTCCATGTGCCTTGGGCGTTTAGTTAAACGCACCAAACTTGATTGCAGGAAATACGACTTCAGCAACAGAGTGGTCAATGTTTGGAATACTCTACCTGACTCTGTGGTTTCTTCCCCAAGCCCCCAAAACTTTAACCTTAGGCTGTCTACTATTGACCTCACCCCCTTCCTAAGAGGCCTGTAGGGGGCGTGCATAAGCCCACCAATCATGCCTACCATCCTTGTCCTATTGTTTCTTTTTATTTTTCATATAAGTATCTATCTCATGTATTCAAAACTGTTTATTCTTATACCTGTATCTTGTAAGTGATTGACAAATCAAATAAATACTAAAAAAACCAAAAACCCTAAATACTAGCCCTGCCGGCCACATGACCACGGAGACGTCTTCGTACAGCGCTGGCTCTTCTTTGGCTTTGTGATGGAGATGAACACTGCCCCCTAGAGCCAGAAACGAGTAGCACGGATGTGCGAGGGGAACCTTTACCTTACCTTTAGGTCATCAAAGATTAATGCTCCGTTTTGCCCTGGAGCATACTGGCCCCTGCCACATAAAAAGGTGGCTCCCCTCTACCTTGTAGAGAGTATATATCTCGTCTTGTAGGATCAGGTGAAACACGTTTGCAACATGCTCTTCTGTTTGCAAGAAGGCTGGTCAGAAATCTAGTTGTTCAGAAATATAAAAGCATAATGATGGGAAAAAACCCAGTTACAATTCCTGCAGCAGTAGATTCAGGCTATATTGCTGCTCTGGGCGTTGGGGAAAATTCCATATAATCGTAATGGTGAACATTAGCAGTCAGTACCGAATGTCGAGAAGCATTCAGAGGAACATAATTCCACCTTGTCACACTGACTGCGACAAACACAAAGAGGAGGAAGGGCACTCATTTTAGGGGCACCCACCACCACCATGGTGTCGATCACTCCCAAATGGTTTGTTCAAATCCTAACCCGTTAATTTTTGTAAACGCTAACCATATTCCTTACAAATTTGTGCAAGTCTGCACAGCATTCCCCTGTGAAACCTTGCTTGAGAAGATTGGACCCTCAGCGCAAAGCCTAGCTGAGATAGTTGAAAATCTTAGAAAGTGATTTCTTATTTCTTCGCATTACGTTTGCACAACTGAATGGGAGCCGCATTAAAATTCTGTCCAGCTACCTCTCCGCCTGGGCTGGCCAGAGGAATCCAGAGGGACCCCGTGGGCGGTCTGGTGGCTCTGGTGTCTGCCCCCCAGAGGGGCAGCGCCCAAGAGCAGCAGGTTCCTAAGGTTTAGTTATGTGAAAGAAGCGTCCCCCAATTTTTCCCTCCTTTGATGAAATGCCCACTCGTGGTATAAACAGTCAACCTGTCATGGAACGTTTTCTTAGAGACCCTTTTTTTTCCTCCTTTCAGCCCGCAAGTTGAAGAAATTGGGCAACCTGAAGATGCAAGAAGAAGGGGAGACAGCAGAGCCCTCGAGCCCCACTGAGGAGCAAGCCACGAAAATGCCGCTGGCGCATCTCGATAGCCTGGAATGCCAGCCCATCTTCCTCAACGTCCTGGAAGCCATTGAGCCCGGCGTGGTTTGCGCAGGGCACGACAATAACCAGCCCGACTCCTTTGGCTCCCTTCTCACCAGTTTGAATGAGCTTGGAGAGAGGCACCTGGTACACGTGGTGAAGTGGGCAAAAGCCTTGCCAGGTAAGAAGCACTTTTTCTGGGGGGGGGGTATACCCCCAGCTCCCATTCAGCCTATCAGGATCTGAAGATGTTAAGCAAGCGGGGGCGGGGTGGGGGGGGCTTCTTAGGTGGCGGAGGCCCTCGGTGAAAGTCGAAGAGGAGACGTCCTGGCAATTTTAGAGCTGAAGGCTAGGCTGGAGTTTGAAAAAAACTTCTTGGAAGAAGGTGGTAACTAACATAAAGCATAAAACGATAAGGCTTGAAGGGACCTTGGAGGTCTTCTAGTCCAACCCCTGCTTTCTTATTGCCACAAAAACTGCATGGGATGGTCCATGGGAGGGGTTGCCTTTATCTGAAGGACACTTGACTGGGGGTAGGTGGCATGGATACATTCCTTGGTATCTCTCAGGCTCCTGCTGTATTAGACTTAGCGGTTTTAAATGCAAAGAAAGGGCCAAACTCTACCGAGAGATTTATTGCCTATTCGTATTTCTTGGCTTCTCCGCATAAGTCCTGTGGGTATTTTGAAAAAATAAAACGGCTCAAAAGGTCGTCACCCGAGAGCAGCCGTACTACGAGTCTCCTTTTGTGCTCAGAAACCCCAGCTGCCGTGCTGGGCTTCACCTGCCTCTTTGTCCAGTGCCCCCCTTGAAGACTTGCCTTCCTCTCTTCAGCCAGAGAAGGTGCCGCCTTCCTAAAGGTTTCTTTGCTGCCCAGAATTTCCTGCTCAAGGATTATTTGAGGTTTGTTTTGAATTGATGGATACTGGGCTTCTGTTTCTTATGCAAAATAAGAAAAAAGTTTCTGTTCAAATACGACGCACCGCTCCTTCTTCCATTATCGTGCCTATTCTTTGAACTTAAATTCTGTTGTTTTCTTCATCGTCTGCTGTCAAAACAATGGGTAAAAAGCCAGTTGGAGAGGAAATTCGCGCGTAAGGAATCCATCAGTGTCAAAGAAAAGCTGAAGAAAAATCCCAGGCTGCCATTCAGTTGAACAAATGAAAGAAGCAGGTTTTTTCAAAATATTGAAGGGCCTTACAGGACGAGGTGCTCCCTGAGAAAACATATTTCAGACCGGTCCGTGAGATCTTAGCCTTCTGATTCGTTCCAAATGTCTTTTTCTTTATGCCCCGCATGCAAGCCAATCAGAATTGAATAGGGGCAGCCGATAGTCCTATTCCAGTCTTTGTCCAAAAGACTCAAACGATGCACCTGGACCCGTTCCTGTTGCATAAAGTGCCCGAGGTGACCCTGTCCCAGGGAGCTTCAAGGACCCAGAGACCCCCACCAAGGCCCCCTTTGCATCCCCCAGGACTCTCACTCTGAATTGCCTTGAATACAAGACACTTGGGGCAGCTAATGGGGAACCCACAGGCCTTCTGCCTCCACACTCCCTGGCCCGCCTGCATTTTGACAACGATACGTGGAACAAAATACATGGAAACCTGGGCTGCTGGGAAAGTGAACGTTAGCCATTAAGCCACTAAACCTTTATTCTCCCAGGTGTCCCTAGGGAAAAGGGGCCGTGCCGATGCCTGCTCCAAAGACAGCAACCAGGGTCAAATTGCCTAAACTGTCAACCAACCAAGAATTGCCACCCATTTCGAAAGGATAACTTTGCATGGAAGATGTTCGTTCTGTCAGTCTTACAAACCGCTGCTTTTCTCAAAGTGTCATTTTAACTTTAATTAAATTGTATTTCTCAGACCCTGTTCCAGAAATTGTGAATAAGGATAATGAGAAAGTCGCTCCAATTTGAGATTGTAGGTGTCATGTCATCACGACTTCCAAGACCGATGCCTTATTAGCAACCCCATAACTTGCCGGTGGTTCTTATCTCTGTTAAAATGGAGCTTTTAAAAAGTACTGCCTGGTTATCCACGCCTTCTGATTTTGAAGGACTCCTGTGGTAAACGTCCATTACAACCCATGGTCCAGTTTAGAACGAAGCATCCCAGGGTTTGACTGTTTGGCTTTCCTGCGTCTGGAAAGAGGCAAGAAAACTCCTCAGCCAGCTGGGCTGGTTTCAGCAAAGGAGGGCCTGCTCCCAGTGCCCCCCCGCCCAGACCACTCCACTTCCTCCCTCTGGCTGCTTCTCCCAGGCCATGTGGGGAGCCAAGGACGGAAGGGCTAGGAAGGAGCTGTTGCTGGCTCCTCTTCTCCGCCTCACTTTTGCCTTCCCTTCACAAGTAATGAAATGGCTGCCTCCCTAGTCTTTGACCGAGAAGGATGCAATGTTTATTTATTTTATTTATTTATGAAACTTGTAGGCCACCCATCTTACCTCAAGGTAATGTCCAGTTCAGTTGCCATGCTTTGAGCAGAACGCTGCTTGGGTTAGACCATGATGGGGATGCTTCATGCCCTCTGTTGGAATCTGATTCCGAGGGGGAGGTTGAACAGATGACAGGGAGTGGAAGTGTGGCTCTGGTGGCTGTGGAAGAAACTGGGGGAAGGGCACAGTCTGGCTGGGCATTCAGAGGAAGACCCAGGGCCACCCCCTCTTCATCCCAGGGCATGCAGGGAGGAACGGAGAAGGGAGCAACGTGGCTTATGGGGGAGAAAAGGGCCCTGATTCCCTTCATTAGCTGCAGCTGGGAAAACAGGATTTAAAAGGGGCATTTGCTCACAGCACCATGCTGGAAGCAAAGCCTGCGTTATCTTTGTTTGTCGAGCCCTAACTGGGTTATGGTGTCCTCCCAACTGTGTGCGTTTCATTATTTTTTGAAGTCTGCAATTCCTTATCCTGCTCTGTCTCGTTAATTGCTGCAGTGTGGTTTGTGTTTTTTTTAATTTATAATCTATATGTACTTTGGGTTCAGACAGAATTTTCTTCCCTTTAAAAACTGTTCTTGGGAGAGTTTTTTCTCCAGCCAAAGATAACTGGACATTGGGGGCCAAGTTGGAGATATTAAAAGGACTTTACCTACTTTTGTGACTTTGTTGCTTTTTTGCCACGCCCCTTTGGGTCATCACAGGATGCTTCATGCTCCAAGAGCCCCCGTGGGACTGGGGTGCACTGGGACAAACGAGAACACGGGCAGCTCAGGAAGGTCCCCTCAGGAAAGAAACTTCAAGGCACCTGGATCAGAGTGAGGCACCTCGGCGCAGCCAGCTGCCACCACCAAGTCCTTTTTGCAAAGCTCGCCAGCCCTGCTCAGTTGCGAGGCTGAGTTTCCGAGAATTTGGCTATGAAACACACTTTCCACAACTCTTCTCTTGCATCAACTTTTTGGCCATGTCTTCAGCTAGCTCTTCAACACCAGAGGATTCCAGAAGGCCACAGACGAGGCTGTTGTCCGGCACATCTAGAAAGTACCTAATGGGAAAGGTCGGATGTCAGACTTCGCCTATGGCCTTTACTGAAGCTTTTAACTGGGTCCATCCATGGACGGGGGGCGGGGGGGGAGAAAAGGCCAAGGAGGTGACTGTGACTGCTTGACAAAAGTGGATCCTGACGTCTCTAACGCCGCCTCTGCAGGTGCCCCTGCTGCTTTTAACTGCAGGCAGGCCTGATTGTCCTTAGCTGTGCTAGCCCTCATTTTTGTGGTTGTGTTGCTTTTATTATTTCTCATTTGATTATCCATAGCTTGTGAAACTTGTTTTAATCCACTTAACCTATCTTTGGAGCCTTTTCCACAGAAATATGAAGTACGTGGGTTTTTTAGGGTTAATGAATTAATTAATACACTCCTAAATCTATCATTCTCAGAACTTCTAAATCTCTTACTTATAAATGTGCAAAGCCCAAAGCCCAGAACAAGTTTTAAAAATTTAAAAAAACTAATGATAGGATAGGAAGATAGATTGCAATCTCTGGTTTTCTTCTGTTTATGTAAACTATAATTGTGGTTGGAAGATTTTGTGGTTGGAAGATTTTGTGGTTGGAAGAGAACTACAGCTGTTTTTGGACAGTCTTATCAATGGATTCACTTCCCATCTTGATCAAATCGCAAAGCACTTCCTGAAACAATTTTTTTTTGATTGACCTGCTTGAAGGTGACTACTAGTTCCTGATCCCACCTCTTGAACATTGCCTTCGTCAATGATAACTGAGAAAGTTTGTAGAGAGCTAAAGCGATAAATAAATGTTTATCTGTTCATTTACAAGGCCACCTGACTCACAGATAACTATGAGCATGAAAGAATCCTTACAGCCGCTCACTGTGAGCCCAAGCCTCCTGGTGGACAGGTGATGAAATACACGATCGTCCAATGCACAGGCTCCCTAGGCGCCCTGAGGGAGCACAGCACCAGCCTTGGCGGCAAAACTAGCACTTTGTCTGCAGGAGGAAAAGAATTGCCCAGTTATTCATGCCATCGTGGCAGGGGCAGAGCTTGGCCTTCCATCTTGACCTTCTCTTATTTTAGGACCCAAAGAGCATTAACGTCCAGTTGAAGCACAACGAAATCCCGCAAGCCGCGTTGAGTTGGTCATTGGATCAACTCCAGCATAAGTGGTTCCATTCAGAAGACGCTGGACACATCACCTCCATGCCACTCAACAGCAGCGTTTCAGGTTGGAGCCAGCAGGAAAGAAAAGTCCGCAGATAATTTTCAGTTGAGATTTTCCTTAAGAGAGGAGAAATCACCCGTCCTTCCTCTGCAGGAAGAGTAATTGAGTTCTTGATGGGCCACAAGGAAAAATAACTATTTTTGGCTTGACCAGCAAGGGTAGCAAGACAAGAAATGTGATTGTGATGTGATGGTTGCACTTCACAGGGAAGATGGGATTCACGTTATATTTTGGCTGACATGTCACACCTTCGGTTCACAATTGGAAACTCCATATTTTTAAATACAATTTTATTAACAATTTTGGTTACAGTAAAAAGTAATATAAACTAAACCCAGAGATAGAGAAGAGGAAAAAAGGGGGGGAAAGTAGAAAAAAAATAACTCTTCAGCTCTTACAAGGTTAAGCATACATCTCTTCTGCCCAAATACTATCTCTTCTTTATAAACAAATCCATAAAACGTCAACTTTTGAATCTTAGTGCCAGCAAACAGTCGGGGAAG